TGAGGATTGAGCCATTTGGGGGATTTAATATTTAGAAGAGACAAGGACAGGAAAAGCAGAGACAAAACTGAGAGGCATGCACATGCAGATGAGAGCGGAGGCCCAGGAAGGCAGAGCAGAAAAGGAGATAGCTGGGAAGATGAGGGAAAGAGTGGAAGTGGCGGGATGCTCTCTGCTCCAGGGGGCCTGGAAGTGGAGACATGGGCAGAGAGCCTTTGTAACATAAACTGCTTCTCCCTGACTGTAGTCCCAAGTGCCTTCCAGATCTAAATGAGTCAATAAGAGCAGAGGGGGAAAGCAATTAGGAGAGCAAAAAACACACTTCGGGATGGAGATCTGGAACGAGATGGAAAAATTGATGAGGCAGAGAGATTACAGGCTCACACACCATCGGAGGTGAAATTGGGTGAGGGGAGGAAATTGGCGACTGGGGGAGATAGCTGGAGGCACGAGGGATGGGAGGCGAGTTCTCAGAGAAGTAGTTTGGAGGATGCAGGTGAGAGGCCTGGGCAGATTGCCAGGAGAGAGAGAGAGAGAGAGAGAGAGAGAAGACTGCACTGGGGGAGGAGATTTTGGGGGCTTAGGAGATGTCAACTTGGACCAGTCCTGGCTGGACTGCAGAGGGGACCCATGAAGCCCAGAGACTACTGGGGACATGTCATCTGTACCACTTTTCTGAAGGCCGCCTTTAGAGTAGAGACCAGAACCTTGAGGATTTTCCTTCCGCCTACCCCCCACCACCTAGCAGCCCCAGCTAGGGTTATTACTAGAAAGACTCAAAGAATAGTGAAGGCCCTGAAGTTAGAGATGCCAAAGAACATTGCGAACAGGCACACGCTGATCTCTTAGCATCCAGATCATGTGCTAATAAGAGAGCATCAGCCAAGAAAACCACATCCCAGACGGAGTGGGAATAGTGACAGCCGTGTGGCAGGAACAAGCTTGGGACTTGGTGGGAGGATGTGAGAAATGGCATGGCAAACTTCCTCCGCAAGTCTGCCGTGATGAGGGTCTCTCAGGGACCAGCTCACAGCCTTGCCAGAGGGAGAAGGGGCCTATAGCGCGGGCCTGTAGACTCTGGGGCCTGGCGCAACAATGCCCTTGAGAGGAAAGGGATCCCTAGGGCCTCAGTGCCAGTGAGGGTGCTCTTGGCTCTCAGCAGCAGAAGCCCTGAATTAGAATGACTTGTGCAGAAAAAGAACATGTGCTATTGCATGGTTTAGCAAGATGCCAGGGTGCTGTGGCTGAGACCGGGTCCCTTTCATCTCTGCCCTATCCCCATTGGTACCAACGTGCTGCTCAGGCTCAGTTTGAATGGCTACCGAGTAGGCATGGAACTATTCAGAGGGGGAAGGGCTGTCTTTCTTAGGAGGAAGGAAACATTCCTGAGCAGTAAAACCCTCACTCCAGACCTCAGTTTCTTCGTGTATCATTGGTTGAATTGGGTCACTTGCCTAGTCCTGAATCACATGCTGGACGTGGGAAGGATGGGATGCCTATTGGACCAATCCAGCTCACCTGGGACCCAGGGCTGGGTCAGCCTCCTCTGAAGAGCCTGGCAGCTTGGGGGAGGGGAAGGCAACTAAATAAAACGGGAGGAAGAAGGGGAGAATGGGTGCTTGCGAGCAGCCAATGGCTAATGACTCTTAGCCGATGGGCTAACAGAGGACAAACTAGTCAGTCCAGAACCCAGGGCATTAGAGAAGCCTGCCCACCACCCTGTCTACTCCGAGCCCTGGCCCAAGCGTCCCACTATCCCATCTGTTGTTGAAAAGATCATAGGACTCTGAAAGATTGCCCGAAGTTGCCCTGGGAGACGAGGCACAAGAACATATCTGATAGAGCAAAGATAGCAGGGGCTTCTTGAGGGGAGCCATATCGGCAGTGAGGTGGAAAGACTGTGCTGCAGCGAGGAAGGTGCTGAGCTTCCAGGCCTGGCCCTGCAGTGTCTTGCTTTGTGACCTTGGGCGGGAGGAGAACTCCTTGAGCCTCAGTTTCCTTATTTGTAAAACGACAGAGTCAGACTAGGTGATTTCTAAGATCCCTCCCAGTTCAAACATCCTGTGATTTTGGGAAACTTAGAACAGAGAGATTAACTGGGAGGCAGGAGTGAAGGTGGGGCAGACATTTCTTATGGTATCATTTAAGTAGCCAAAAGGAAGGATCCACAAGCCATTATCTATAGGGGTAACTGCCTCCACCTCAGGTTTGTCTAAGTCGAAAAGGGAGAGTGTATAGCATTCATAATTTCCATATGTCCTTTTGGCAAGGAAATGTAAAAGACCCATTAAATTAATAAAAGAGCCACATGGACTCAGGGGAAAGTGAATTATGTGCAAAGGACAAGGACGGTTGTGGGCTTGCTGAGGAGCCTCTGGCGCCGTGCAGGTGAGCCTCAAGTCAAATGAAGAAGAAGCTGCGTGGCGAACATGCAGGGCAAGAGGGTGGAGAAGAGGGAGCGGAAGACGATGGATGGAGGGACTCAGGAGTGTGGCCAGTCAGGCTGGCTCAGCCCAGCTCAGCCAGCTCCACAGGACTGGGTTTCAGCTGATTCCCATCATGGGGTTTGGGTGCCCTTATCTGCTTAGACTTCAGGTCCCAGCTGGTTTTGGGACCAGGGGACAGACAGGAGGGGAGATGGATTGGAAGGTGGGAGGCTCAACAGAGACCAAGGAGACTCAATGACCCAGTGGGATGTCTCTTTGGAGAATGGGGAGGTGTTGAGGTCTACAGCATCTGCCAGATGGTGGGGGCCGAATAAATGTGGCAAGAAAGAAAAGAAGCAGGAAAGGAAAGAGAGAAGAAGCAAGTGAGGGAGGAAGAGAGGGAAAGGGAGGAAGGAAGCATGCACTGGTCAAGTCATTTTGCAATGCAGGTCAACTTGAACTGGAGCAGAGAAACTTTACTCGCTATTGTTCTTTGTAATTGCCTTTTAAAGAGATGATTCAAAGTCAGCTCACCAGTTCTTATCACAGGCCCAATGTGTTACAAAACTGGGCAGGAGCTAAGGTAAACCATCTAGCCTGCTTTCTGCCTGGGCAGCTCCCCATTCTTGCTACTTCCCAGAATCTCAATTCTGCCACCACCTGTCTCCTGAGCACCTGCTAACACCTGTCTGGACCTATAGGTACTCAGTCCCTGCCCTCAGGAACGCTGACTTTCTGATGCAGGCAGTTTACAAAGCCATGGGGCAGGGACCACCACTTCTCTTTTGTAGATACAGAAATTGCTGCTGGCTTGGAGAGGCTCACGTGCCCAGGGATCACTCAGCATATAAGTGAGGGACTAGGATGTGTACTCTGGGTTTGGTGTTTCTGCTTTCCAGATCCTTCCTCTGCACCACTCACTCACTGCTTTCACTCTTTCTGGAGAGCTTGAGAAAACCCCAGATGACATGCCTCCCTCCAGCCTTGGAGGGTCCAGCATCCCGGGGCCTGGGCAGGAAGGAAGCGGGTGTAAGAAGTCTGTCGCATGGGAGAGTGCCCTTCCAGCCTCTTGCAAAGGTGCCCTCAGTTGAAAGAGGGGGCATGGAAGGGAGGTATTGAGTCGCCAGTGGTGGAATGTCATGCTTCAGTGAAGGAGCCTGCCTTGTAACAGGATCGTATGCGGACGTCTAGACCCCGCAACATCACCCCTCTCAGGAGGCCTCTACCTGCCTTCCTAGGCCCCCCTCAAGGCCCTGGTACAGTGTGGGCTGTACAGTCAATTGCATTTAGTAGGTTTTTATTTTTTACCAGGGACCTGTGTACATGAACACAGCAGAGTATTCTCTCCTCCTCGATTGCACACAGGCCAAGGACAAGCGTCCTGTCTTTCTGCTCTGACCACTTCTACTCAAACACCTCAGCCTTCCCCTCTCCAGAGACTGCACACATTGTGTTCACTCATTGGGTAGTGGGCAGATTTCAGTCAAGAGATAATTCAAGTCAAGTCAAGAAATGAGTCTTGGGCACCAACCACATGTCAGGTTCCATGATAGATGCTGTAGAACATGTAGAGTTTAAGGTCCTGCGTGTTCCCTGCCCTGAGGAGCTCACATTGTAATAGAAATGGACACCCAAATGCACTGACCTGTTCCCTGGCTTTCAGGCCATCCACAGCCAATACAGTCTGATGTATTGTCTTCTCACCTCTCCATGCCTCCTTCCAGGTATGCTCCATACTTTCTACCTCCTAGTCTTTGCTCCTGCGGTTCCACCCTCTGGAATGTCTTTTTCCCTCCCCAGCTGTTCCCACTCCATAGCCAATAAGTGATCTACCAAGATCCATCAGTGCTCAGTTCTTGTCGGGCATGCTTTCTTGGTCATTCAATCAAATACCTCCCTCTTAGGATTCCCCTCCCCCAGGCCTTTGTCGGTCCATCTCAGTCTAATGTTACCCTTATATGTGTCCTGTCTCCTCACAGCTCCCTCCCCATCCCACTGTTATCTTTCACAGGAACAGGGTCTGACTCATTTTTGGGCTTTGAACTTAACATATGCTTCATACATATTCATCAAATTGGACAGTACAAAGCAGATTGTAGTAGTAAGGACATCTAGGAAGAAAGGTTATCATGGGGTCTTCCAAGAGGAAGTGACCTTCAACTGAGCCTTGTAGAATGGGCAAACCTGAGGGAGTAGCCAGGTTCCTCCACTTTTCCTGAGATAAGCAACCCTGCCCCCTTCTTGAGGATTTCTGGGAGCAATGGAAGTTGCTTGTTTCTCTGGAGCAAAGAGAGAAAATGATGCCCATTAAATCATTTGGAGCCCAAAGTGGGAGCTTGATGCTTCAATCCCAGGGAAGCCTTTGCCCCACCATTATCTGCCTTGGGTGAGTACCCGATCATTAGCCAAAGTGGCCAAGACAGAAGGTGGCTCAAGGGCAAAGAAGATGGGCCCTTACTTCCCTTTCTTTTGCTTTCTCTTTGACTTCTCCATTCCTCTTATTTTCTCCCACCCCCCTCCCTTCCTCTGCACCCCTGCCCTTCCTCTCTCTGCCTGCTCCCTGGCCTCTCCCAGCTCTCCTCGGCTCTGCTGTTTGACGCTGTCTATGCTGTGGTGACCGCGGTGCAGGAGCTGAACCGGAGCCAGGAGATCGGCGTGAAGCCCCTGTCCTGTGGCTCGGCCCAGATCTGGCAGCATGGCACCAGCCTCATGAACTACCTGCGCATGGTGAGGAACGGCTGAGGCCCTGCAGGTTCACGCCCAGCCCAATGGGCGGGACCTCAGTTTAAGATGCAAGAGTCTTCAATCCCAGGCATCCCCAGTAGATCACAGCCCCAGATAAGTCAGTGACTTGTGGTGACCCTGGTTGAGTGGATCATGGGTTACATTTGTCCTCTAATCCCTAGTTACCACTGAGAATCCATGGAAGTTTGTTCAGAAGGCAATGGCCCTCGAACCTTAGACTATTAATGGGCCCCTGAATTCCAGTCATAGAACCTGGCCTCTCTGCTTGGCAAAGCTCCACGCAGCTGGGGAAAGGCAATGCTTCAGGAGACGGGTTCTTCCAGGAGTCACAGGCTCAGGTCTTCTAGCTTGGCTGGATTTTGCCAGCATTCTTCTCCCCAGCCAATCCTCTTGTGGTGGATGGACCTGGGTCTTTACCCCATGCAGAAGCCATCTCCCTTTGGAGAAGGCTTGTGCAGAGTGTCTTGAATTTTGCATTCAGAGTCAAGCATTGTGTCGTCCTGACTTCTTGCAGGCTAGGGGGCAGGTGAGAAGCTGTCCAGAGAGCATAGATGCTATTGGCAGCCAGAGGCCTGGAGGAGAGGCTGAGGGGCAGTCCAAGTTAGCATTATGACTGTGATGGTTTGTGCAGTAGGTATGGAGTTATTGAGTTTGGGGCATCCTTCTCCTTCTCCATCTCCATCCTCAGTCAAGTCTGAATTGTCTCCATGTACATTACATTTGGCATCTCAAAATGCTGTGGCTGGGAGGTGGACAGGAGACTGGATCATGATGGCTTCCCTTCTTTTGGGTATCCTTAAGTGGTCCCTGTGTAGAATGCTTGCTTGTGGAGCAAGCAAGTGGAACATGGGGCCTGTTTGGTGCTGTAACTCACTCTCTCTTGGACAGGTAGAATTGGAAGGTCTTACCGGCCACATTGAATTCAACAGCAAAGGCCAGAGGTCCAACTATGCCTTGAAAATCTTACAGTTCACAAGGAATGGCTTTCGGCAGGTAAGCCTCGCTGTGCCGCCATCATGGCAGAGCTCTCCTCTCTGTTCTTTTCTCTGTCCTCAGCCCATTTCTTTGACTCCTTGACACTCAGGGTGGCCTCCTGCTCCCAGTTATCCCCAAGGGCAGCAGACTACATCCTGGACAAGGTCTGCACCGGCCTCCTCCTTCCTGGCCAGCTTAGCCAGCATGTGTCAGAGACTGCGCCCTCAGCCAAATACCAAGAGAAAGTAATCATGCTTTGTAAGGCGAGCAGGGAATCAAAGGAGTGTCATGGAAGGCAGGAACTCCCAGGCCCTGTCCACTCTTTTGGATCCTTCTACTCCCTGTGTCTTGCCCTAACCCTGGAACCCATGGTGGAGGTCAGGGAGCCTGCTGGTGGGGCACAGACTGGATCCCACATCGGCTGGCTGAGGGACGGCATTGGAAGAGACGTCTGGTTCTCTCCTGTCAGCTCTTCTCTGACCACCCAACAGCCCGCACCCCCATGCCAATCACATGCCTCCTCTCTGCTAGCTGTCTGCTCCCATCATCTCAGGGATGCTTCGTCCTTCATGGCTCCTTCCAGCTCCTACTCCCTTTCTCACTCTCCTCCATTAACCTCCCTCTCCTTCCCTCCCGTTCTCTCTTGTCAAAGGAAATAGACATCTGACAGCCACTCTATGTGTCCTCTGAAGGTCTCTCACCCTCGCCATCACCCTAATAATCAGCCCCCTGTTATTCGACTAGCCCATCTCCAACCTTAGAGAAGGCTGGCAAGTAGGAAGCCTGGCACTACATGCAGCAGGAAGTGGTATTTGAAGAGCTTCCTGACGATCCGTGGCTGAACAAGGGGACGCGCCACTGAAGGGGTTGCAAGATTCTTTTTCAGGAGATTATGAAGAAACATCGTCTTCCTTATCATCACCACCCCCACCACCACCCTCATCACAGCAACTTCCATTTATTAGCCCCTTGCCATGGGCCTGATACCACATTAAGTGTGTCAAGTGTGTCATATGTATATTCTCATTTACTATACATAATAGGTACTTTTTATTAATTCCCATTTTACGCTTGAAGAAACTGAGGCTCAGGGAGATTGACTTGTCCTTGAACAATTAGCAATGGCAGATCTGGTTTGGGGTCCCAATATGTCCACCTCTAAAGTGGTGTTTTATTTTATGGCAAATTATACATCAAAATCTCCTTGGTAATTTGTTAGAAATGCAGATTTTTAGACTGTACTTCACACGAATCGAGTAGGCCTAGGATAAGGCCCAGGAATGGATACAGGCATGAACCTGAGATGATTGATGAAGCTCTACCGCTGGGGGCCTTGTCATATCTATCTTCTGCTACTCTGTCCTCATGTCTGAGAGGTTCCAATCAAGCCCTTCTTACGAGATTCAGTGTGATTCTTTCTAGAAGGCCAGTGGTTATGCTGGGCCATGAGACCAGGTCACCCTTCTTGGAAGACAACACAGTAAAAGGAAAGAGTCCCAGACAGAGAGTAGAGCCCAGATTCCTTGTGCTGACGCTGTCAACAACTCCTCACAACTCTGGGCTGGAGCTGCATTGTCTTTGAGCAATGACAGCAGCTCATGACAAAATAGCTACTGACCTTTTCCGTAATTTGTCAGCTGGGAGCAGGGTTAGGTAGGCAGTCAGAAACAACAGGAATGGCATGTCACAAAATGATCATTTCATTGATCTAACAAATCATTTATTGAGCATGTACTATGTGTCAGGCACTGTGCTGGGCCTGCGGGAAACACACTGAAAAAGACATGGCCCCTGCACTGAAAGAGAGCTCACAGTCTGGGGAGGAAGCCTGGCATAGAAAATAGTAAGTACAAATTTGGGTTATTAAACTCAGATCGTGCCCTCGGGCTCATAATTCCCTGAACAAGTAAGGCTGCCAGCCTGTAGGGAAATTGTCAGGCAGGCTTTTTCTGAGCCCCAGTATGCTTGGAGCATGTGAAGTGAAGAACATTCATTCATTCTTTCCAGAAATCTTTGTTGAGTGCCGATTATGCACCAGGCTCTCGTGTAGTTATAGGTTTTTATAAACGCAGAAAGTGTTTGCTTTTGTGGAGCCTGCATTCTAGTAGGGGACAGACAATAGGCAAACAAATACATATATAACATAGTGTCAGTGGTGATAAGTGCCCTGAGGAGAAATACAACGGGGACAGGAAAAGGGGGATAGAGACAATAATGGTGGAGGGGTGTAATGCTCACACCAAGCCCCAGATCACTCCGTAGAAAGCCCGACCCAGGCTTTGAAAACCTACCCTTGGACCTCAGTCCTCTATATAAGTGCTTTCTGGAAAAAGCCCACTTCCAGCACCCCTCCATCAAGAGCCACCTGTGGTGGCAGAGTTGGGCAGTGGCCCTGATCCCGCCCTCCACTTGGAGGTCAGGTGATTAGGCTCCAAGTACCTCTTCACCTTAATTCTGCTTCTCCAGCAGCCGCCACTCAGGCAGGCTTGTGCCAGCTGCAAGGCCACAGGACTGCCTGAGTCATGAAAAAGCAGCAGCAGCATCAGCCACCAGGTCCCAGCCTTCAGCCCCCAGCCCAGGCCAGCGAGGGACTGTGCCCTGTGGCATCCTCAACATCGTCCACAGCTTCTTCATCAGTGGCATACATTCGTGGTACAGGGCAGGCTTCCCAAACATCAGTGTGCATGAAAATGGCCGAGGATGCTAGTTTTAAACTGTGCACCCGAGGACCCACAACCTTACATTCTGGCTTAGTAAAACTGGGCATGTTTCAGGAATCTGCATATTTTTAACTAGCACTCAGAGAGATGATTATAATACCGACGTCCGCAGACTACACACTGACAACTACTGCCCTGTTGAAGAGTGTTAGTGAACTGCAGCCTCCATGCATAGAATTAGAATTTTTTCTTGACCTCCCCACATCCCACCTCCATCTTTTTGAGCTAATAATGGAATCTGCAGAAGTGACCATTAGAGAGGAAGGTATTTCTGAACTTCAGCTACCCTAAGGGACACACACTCCTGATTGGACTTATAAAGGGGATGGCGATTATCCTCTTTATTACCCATTTTTCTTCAACAAATCTGGCGAGTGTCTTGCTGCTTGCCTATCTGGCTCAGATGCCATCAGGACCCAGTGAAAACTGTGCATGATGTATCATGGGCACAGATGTAGCTTCACAGCATTGGTCCCCAGGTCCCATCCCAATCACCGCCCAATCTTTGCCTCTTGACAGGTGTCCTTCCCCTGCTTATTACAGGATGAAAAAATGGTTTAGGGAGTGATAATTAATTGGGCTTCTCTTCCAGGATGGGAGGAATGTCAGTATCTCTGCTTTAATATTCTCCCAGTCCCATCCAAGGTAGGGGAGGGGAACGTGACTAGGAGCAGGAGAAATAACATCTCTTGAATACCTTTTGTGTGCCAGACGTCACATGGGCACTTTGCACAAGTCACTTCCAATCTTGAGGACAACGCTTCAAGGTAGGTACATTCTCATTGCACCAATAAGAAGACTGAAGCTCAGGGAGGTAAGGAACTCAGTCCTTTGGTTACCAAGGACTTTGGGCAGAACTGGAATTGATGCTCAGGCTTGTCCAGCTGCAAACTCCATGTTCTTGGGGCTCCCACTCTTGGCTGTTCCTCACTTTCCTGGAATCCCCAAGCCCCCAAATCAAAACCCTTTACCTAGATCTGTGGCTTTACTGCCACCTGCTGCAAACCAGGATGGCGCCTGGTTCCTAAGGATCTGCTGGGCTCGCTGGGCTTTCTTTAGTAATGGCGTCTTCTCGTTTGCATTTGGTTTTGTTCTATCTCTTCTTGTCTGGGTGAGTGACTATTAAGAGCTGGTTTTGATTATTTAGGAAGCACCACGCAGGGACCCAGTGGGTTATAATTGGTAAAATGTCTGGACCAAATACCACATTCTCTGCCGGTGGCTGATTAAAGGATTATTACCATCTTAAAAATAGTCTTTCAGAATTCAGGGTTATTTTTTACCATGTTAAAAATTACTATTTTGATTCTGTTTGGAGAAGGTTTTCCATCTTGGGACTCTGTGGAGCTTCTACTGGAGACTGAGGGATGGGGGGCAGAAATAATTCCCGATAGTGTCCTGTACAAGTAATGGACCATCTCCCAATTATTGTTTATGGGCATAGAAGTCAACAGTCTTGCATCAGCTCCATCCCCCAGTTCTTGCCCGCGTGAGATCTCCATTCTCCATCCCATATCCTCCCTTTTCATCACCCAGAAGATGTCCTGGGTAGCACTAGGGAAGTGTATTCTCCATTCCTGATTTGGGAGAACTCCTCTTTGGAAGGAGCTAGGAGAAAAGAAGCACAGCATTAGAAGGCCCTTAATTTCCTTCATTTAACTTGGTCTAAAGATCAGATATTCTGAGCAGCCCCCGAGCGACTTTGTTAACGCTGTAATAAGTTGAGCACACCTTTCATCTGAGGAACGGAAATGGCTTAACAGGCTCTAATTAAGCCTTCGAGGTTTGACATCCCCAGCTAAAGATGCAGATCTAAACATTTTCTATTGGCTCACTGGTGATACCTCAGGGTTCTCTCTCTGAGCAATGAAGTTGGTAACCTCTCAACATTTGACCCAGCTGAACCCGAGGATTACTGAAAGTACATTTGCATGGCACACTCTTGTGCTTGCCTGTGGTTCCGTAGAAAGCTGACTCTACTGACATAATCATAATAGCTAACATTTATTGTCGCCTACGTGATGTGCTGTGCTGAGTGGTGTACATACGTATTTAAAATTTCTCATCCTTTTACCAACCCTGAAGGAAAGCTATTCTTTCATCTTGTAGGTGAAGAAACTGAAACAGAGAGAGATGAAGTAGTGTATCCACATTCATATAGCCAGGAAATAGTGTATCCACATTCATACAGACTGGGTCCAGCTGTCTTCAAATCCAAGATTTTTTCACTATGAAAAATTGGCCCAGAACATGTTGGAGACTTTCGGGCCTCTCATTTAATCCTCTGACCCAATGCAA